GGGCGGGTATGGGGACGGGGGCGGGGTGGGTATTAACATCCCCGCCCCCGCCCCCGATTTTATCAATCGGGGAAAATCCGAACCCGAACCCGATAAATACGAGTTTTCTCCATCCAAATCGGGGCGGGTTCGGGCGGGTATCCACGGGGGCGGGTTAGATTTCCATGCCTACATAATAGAGCATACATATATAAAAATAAAGTATATACACATATGTCTTGCTTGGGGCTCAAATCAATGTACAAAATACATCAAAATAGCTACACTAAGTAGCCAAAAATAACAAACATCAGCTCCATCTGCCAGCTGCAAACCTGCCTCAATACACCAACCTATCCGTGCTCTGCTCTGATACACAGTATGATCATTGCAGTCCAAACCACATGGAAACAACAAGGGTAAGCTAGTGAAAAGAATCAACATATATATATAAATACAGAAATTATAAACAGCTACAGCTTATCAACACATCATTAAGTTCAGCAAGATCAGCATACAACACATCACATATACAACTCACATCATTAAGAAAAAACAACATTAAACAAACAATGCGTTGTCACGCATATCAGCTCGGAGATCTCCTACAATAGCTAAGCCTTACGGCCTACAATAGCTCAGCCTTACAGCCTACAACAGCTCAACCTTACGGCCTATAACAGCTCAGCCTTACGGCCTACAACAGCTCAGTCTTACAGCCTATAACAGCTCAACCTTACGGCCTATAACAGCTCAGCCTTACGGCCTATAACAGCTCAACCTTACGGCCTACAACAGCTCAGCCTTATGGCCTACAACAGCTCAGCCTTACGGCCTACAACAATTTATATTCAGCATTCAGCACAGCACAACATAGCAGCATTAACAACATACGACACAACTCAACTTTTTCAACAATATAGCTTAAACATCATAATTCTGCATGAACATCTCACAGCACAACACAATCATCACTCAGCTCAACAACATTCATCATTAACAGCTTAAATCAGCATATACCAACATATATCAGCATATATCAGCATATTAAAGAAAGAACACATATATTCAGCATTCAGCACAGCACAACATAGCAGCATTAACAACATACGACACAACTCAACTTTTTCAACAATATAGCTTAAACATCATAATTCTGCATGAACATCTCACAGCACAACACAATCATCACTCAGCTCAACAACATTCATCATTAACAGCTTAAATCAGCATATACCAACATATATCAGCATATATCAGCATATTAAAGAAAGAACACATTCGCACCTGGCGCAGGAGTACTCACGCCCGGCGTGGACCAACTAGAGAGCTCCAAGGCTCAAACGCGCCCGACGCAATACCAATTGTGCCTAGCACAAACGAAGGTAGAGACTCTCAGGAGTCTCACGCGTCCAGCGTAAATATTATTAGTAGAGAAAAAATGGAGAAGACAGGAGCATGGAGAAAAAAAGATGAAAAACTCACTTGAAAATTCTTGAAACACTTGAAAAATCACTTCAAACAATCCTTCAAAATCTGATGGATTTGGATGGGATTGTTTTATGAATATGGTATTTATAAATAAGACTAGAAAGTCCTTCAAAATCCCTCTCACACAACAATCCTTTAAAATCCTTATATTTTTGAATACCAATGGATTGTTTTTAAGTTGTAAAAAATCTCAAATGAATACCAGTGGATTTTAATGGACTCTTTAAAAAATCTTGAAAATCCAGATTGAATACCACTGGATTGTTTTTAAGTGACATAAAATCCTGATTGAATACCAATGGACTTTTTTACTCAAAAAAAGTCTTTTAAAATCCTACGAAATCCTAAACCAATACACCCCC